AACTTCTACATTGATATGGCAATTATATCTCATCAACAAATATGGATTATAAGGCACAACCCAACGGTTATTCATATTAATTCCACGAACATTTACTGTTTTTCCATCATTTCTTCTCCTATAAATAGGATATCCAACTTTTTCTTGTATTGATTTGTTACAAAATGGTCGTAGATAATGAAATTTACATTGATCATCCTTCATGCATGGACTTGTTCGTCAATTTTCACGGCAAGGTCCATGCATTATATGCCTTATAACTAATTCATTCAGGTGCGGTTGTTTATCCTTGTCAGGCAATTCCGCAGAAATAAATCTATCATACTGATCTGCTGAATAATAAAAAATTACAGGGACAACTGAGAGAAATACTAATGTACTAACGACTGGAAGACAACTTAATAGGCATACATAGTAGAAAGGTGATTTAGGAACGTTGATGCGGGATTAGAACTTCCATCTGACACACATAGCAATAACCATACTAATGGCAGGAGGCTCTAATTTTATTTTATTTTTGCAACTATAAGTAGCCTAACCTATTAAAATTGACTATTCCTTAGTTTCTTTTCCTTCTTTCAATCTTTTTTTGACATCTTTTTTGTTTGAGAGAAACACGGGGACTTGTGAGGACTTTGGTTTGCCTAGCCCTCGGGAGTAAATAATAAAAATGGTCAATAGCTTGTTCACAAATGTATGAATTCTTCCGAAATTTTTCATCCTTCACATGTTGATGAAAGATAGTTTTTCCTAGGTTTTTTCTTGTAAAAATCTGCGGATATCTTCTGCCACGCCTTCATCCGGAATAAATTCTTCCAATAAATCGCTATCTGCCCCACGATAATCATTGCTAAGGAATCGTAACCCCTTTTTCTCCATGAACAGACCATAAAGTGAGTTTTCTTGATTGGGGGTATGGTGATAACCATTTAAATCAGAAACTAAAGAAGGAATTATGAAACAACATCAGTTAAGAAAGGCAATGGAAAAACATAGAAAAGTAAATTGAAAAACTCTAATTAAAGTAAACAGTTAATGGAGTGATGAAAATTAGAACTCATCTTCAAATTTGGAATTATTTCATAGAACAAAGCAAACGGTAATTGTTGTAAATAAAGATTGTGGAAAACGTTAAGGTACAAGTATAATAGAATAATGGGGTAAACAAAACAAAGGGACTTACAACTTGAATTAGCAAGAGAAATACCGGCTACGATTTATGGGCGAAAATATATGGATGAAATTATAATGGCGGCGAAGATCTGTGAAGCAAGGAGATTGTGGAAAAACGATAAATAGATGAATACCAATTGAAAAACATAAGGATTTGGTGTAGGAGAATTAGGATTCCATACCTGTTGCTTTAGTAGAGAAGAGCAAATATTGTGAGGAAATTGCCATTAGGTTTTGCTTTTAAAGACAACAAATCAACGAGTGCAATTGTTGGGAATATGATCGTTAATCTTTGAAAGAGAAGGCGTAGGTCGCCAGGCGTCTGTTCAGTTCAGTCGTAAAGTTAATCTGAGGAATTTTTTTGTTTATAAAAAATCAAATTTTTAAGAAAATGGCAATTTCGTAGAAATTTATTAATTGAAGGGAAAAATAGTAATCTGACTTTTAATTAAAGGGTTTCCTGTTTTTAATATATTGTAGATAGATATAGATATATTGCACTATTAGTCCACTACGATACTTAATATTGGGAAAATTAAATCGGGCTAGATTTTTCAGAGAATTGGCATAAACATCTGCGGAGTTTTTCGGGCTAGAAATTGAGCAATTAAGTCTGTTTTATAAGGTTGCAAATAATCTTGATGTTGCTATTGTGTGTGTTATGCGTGTGTACAGGCGTACAGCTCAAATATTGTTACTAGTATATATACTACTTTGCTCGTACTGCTTAAAGAAGAACATATACGGTGTACATAATCAACTTGCTTTACGTTATTTACGTACCTGCGATTCTGTATAGATTTTAAGGAGAATTAGTTTAAATTCCATAAGCTTCTCTGATCTACAAATTTAAGTTTAAGCTTTTAACAGTTTTATAGTTACCACATCCCAAATGTTTCTTCAGTCTTCTTTTCTTTTTTCTCTTTGGTATGGAAGTGGTCGTGTCTGATTCGTGACTTTGGAAAATGAAACTCAGAACCACACAATCATTGGTTAATAAACAAAAATTCATTCTATAGTTGAGTAACTCAAAACAACTTTACAAGGCCATCAAACAATCAAATTTGAGAATGTTTAAGATTTTCATTTTCCGGGGACAAAGTTTGTGGCGTAGGACCAGGCGTTGTTGTTAACGGGGTCTGCAAGGTGGTCAGCAAGGTTCTCTAGTGGGCCCTTTCCGGTAACAATGGCTTGGACAAAGAATCCGAACATAGAGAACATGGCTAGTCTGCCATTCTTGATCTCCTTTACCTTAAGCTCAGCAAATGCCTCTGGGTCCTCAGCAAGACCCAATGGGTCAAAGCTGCCACCAGGGTAGAGTGGGTCGACAACCTCACCAAGAGGTCCACCAGCTACACGGTATCCCTCAACGGCTCCCATCAAGATAACTTGGCAAGCCCATATAGCCAAGATGCTCTGTGCGTGGATCAAGCTTGGGTTGCCCAAGTAGTCAAGTCCACCCTCGCTGAAGATCTGGGATCCAGCCTTGAACCACACAGCCTCACCAAATTTGACACCATTACGGGCCAAGAGCTCGGGGAAGACACATCCAAGTGCACCAAGCATAGCCCATCTACAGTGGATCACCTCGAGTTCCCGGTTCTTGGCAAAGGTTTGTGGGTCTGCTGAAAGTCCAGCAGTATCCCACCCGTAGTCACCAGGGAATTCACCGGTCAAATAGCTCGGGGACTCACCAGAGAATGGACCCAAGTACTTAACACGGTCTGGGCCGTACCATGGGCTGCTAGATGCGACGGGTTTGGCGACAGTCTTTCTCATGGACACCCTTCCATTTCCGGTGATTTCTGAGGCAGATGGGGAGAGTTTCACTGCTTGTCCAGCGAAAGAAGAGGAAGAAAGAGCCATTGTAGAAGCTGCCATGGTTTATCAAGAGGAAAGTGAGAGCTTGCTAGTTTGAGATGTCAAAGTTGGTTGTGATGAGCTGAAGTTACTCTAGCTTCACTATATATAGATAGTAAGAGGGAGAGTCCTTATCTAGTGATATTTATATCTATGATCTCATTGGGTTTCAGAATTTCTTATGGGCAGCAGTTCATGCACATTTGGCAATCTCTAAACCATCAATTTTTCAAGATTTTTACTAAGCGGACCCAACCAATGTTGTCCTCTCACGTGTGTCTACTACAAGGATTGCACTCTATCCTGTGATTTGTTGAGCTTACAATACGATATCTCCTATTAATATCCATTGGCCATTTAATTAATTTCTCTAGATTTTATCTACCACCAGCGTAAAAGATACTGTAGGACGATGGTTTATCGTTCTGCTAAACAAAACTGAGGAATAGCTGAAAATTATTGCCTTTATAATTTGTGGGAAATTAATATTGCATGCTTATGATTGTAAAGCAATGCCATTAAATTTGAGAAGATATTCCCTGCCAAATTTATCCTTTCCTAGTCAATTAAAAAGTAAGAAAATACAATGAACTAGGTGACTTAGTGGCATAATTTATCTTGATTTATACTTTTCACAATACTAAGCATAAGCAAGAGTCAATGTCATAGTTATGTAACTTTCAATTTAAATGAAAGTGAAGATACTGGTGTTTTGGGGTTTTACAAATGCAGGCAATGCAAGAATATCATAATTCTTTTTTTTTTTATAGAATTTTTCAGGCTTCCTGGGGTGTTGTATTTATTTCCAAAAAATAGGAGGGGGATGTGAGCCTTACCTCCAAGGATTACAACACACTGATATACATCCAACAGAGGTTGTTACACTAGTTTGCGCCTCTGTTAAAGTACAAGACATTTACTACTTAGCTTTGTCATACTTAAGCCTAACAGTAGGCATCTGGTTTTTGTTAAGCACAAAAGAACCTTTAGTTCCTTTTGGGAGTTGTTAGAAAGAAAGGTATACTTTGGCTTCAGAGTTAGTAGTTGCCAATTTTGCTAGAGAATCTGCTACTTCATTTGCCTCCCTGAAGCAATGCACAGGGCTAATATTGGCCTGGTTCATTATATGTGAAGTATCCTTTATGATCTTCTTCAACCTATAATTGTTGGTATCACCCTCCTTGAGCATATTCATCACCAGCATTGCGTCCAATTCAATTGTGAAGTCTGAGAACCGATTTTGTACACACCAATCAATGCCAAACATAGCAGCTTGAGCCTTTGCCATGTTATTGTTGCTGCATTTTGAAGGAATTGAGAAGGCCATAATGAGATCTCCTTGGTCGTTTCTCACTACTCCCCCCAATCCCGCTTTTCCATTACCATGAATAAAACTTCCATCGGTGTTTACTTTAATAGCTCCATGTTTAGGTTTATTCCAGCATACTGAGATTGCCTTAGGAATATGTTGAAGTTTTATCATGTTGTCACATGAGTTGACCCATGGCAATGTTAGCTTGCATTTTGGAAAAGCTCTATTGATTGCAGCTTGAGTATGCTAGTAAATCTGTTATTTTATCTTGTAGTAGTTGAACCTCTTTTTATCACCATATTTGTAAGAACATCTACACTTCCACATCGCCCAACATATTATAATAGGGATGATTTGGAGAGCAAGTTTGTGAAGAACATTATTGGATTTCTATAGCCACCAATGATTTGTTAATCCTCTAATTGGCAATTTCTTAGGAATGATTCCCAGAGGGGATCCTATAGTTTTCCAGATATACCTTGTTGCATCACTCTCAACAAAAACATGTTGCATAGTCTCTTTTTTTGGGTTAGCAATTACAATTAGAAATAATGTTCTTACCAAAATTAAGGATAGTATCATCAAAAGGAAGTTTTGATAAGCACAATCTCCATGTTAGGAAAACAATTTTAAAAAGAATGCTAGAGTTACATACCTTTGTAAGGAATTGATCTTTCTCCTTTGTGTCTCTGAACAGATGTAAAGCTGTCTTGTTAGAATACTTACCATTATCAGTAAGATCCCAAAAAGCTTGGTCAGGCAGATCATGCCTGCCAATGTTGATATTTTCTATATGGTGAATGAGCTCCTGTGGAAACAAATCTTTGAGCCTTTGAATATTCCAGTTGCCATCTTGAATAAAATCTTTAATAAGGATTTTGGAGCTTTTGTTGGTATTTGGAAATAAGGAAGCTAAAGGTCTCTTTCCGATCCAATTATCCCACCATATACATGAGTTTTCAGAGTTAATATATCAAATAATGTGAGGTTCAGCCTTGTCTCTAACTTGAATCATCTTTTGCAATGAGTGAGAATTACCAGATACATTGTGTTTAATCAATGGATGGACTCTAACACAATATTTCTGGTTCATGAAAGTTGCCCACAGGGAAGGGATAGTTCTAAATCTCCACCATCTTTTGGTGGCTAAAGTATTGGCAATATCTTGCATTCTTCTAATCCCAATCCCACCTTCTTCAATAGGATAACAAAGATTTTTTCAGGATCTCCAGTGATACTTCTTTTGATCCCGATAGTATCCCAAGAAGAAATTGGCAAGATGTTTCTCAATAAGCTTAAAAGTAGATTTGGAGGACACATAGCAGAAAGAGAATAAGTAGGGATGGCTTGAAGCACATTCTTGATGAGAATGACTTTACCTCCATATGAAAGCAATTTTCCATGCCAGCCATTAAGCTTCTTGACAATACTGTTAACCATGCCATCAAAGTAGGCAGTCTTTTTTCTTCAAATATAAATGGAGCATCCCAAATAGGTGAAAGGAAATTCCTTGTCCATAAAACCAGTACAGTCCCTGATTCTATTAATTCTAACAGCAGTAGTTTTAGGAGCAATTAAGAAAAAACTTTTATCATTGTTAACCTTTTGACCAAAGTTTTTTTCATAACTATGAAGAATATTCATGATGAGATTAATAGAGTTGCTATTACCACCAGAAAAGATAATTACGTCATCAGCATATGCTAGGTGGTTAATGTGTGAACATCTAAGTAGAATAGAGAAAGGAATAAAATTATTATCTCGCAAAAGGTTATTCAGGGAACAAGAAGGCACTTCAGCAGCAAGGATAAATAAGGAGGGAGAAAGGAAGTCACCCTGTTTTAGACCCTGACTTGATTTAAAAAAGCCTTTCCTAGTACTATTAATGATGATCCAAATTTTCGCAAAACCAAATTTCCTAAGCACAACAGTGACAAAGTTCCAAGACATTCTATCATAGGCTTTAGCCATTTCCAATTTCATTACAACATTACCACCTTTATTAGTATTAGAGATAGATTGAACAATTTTCTGAGCTAAAAGAACATTTTCATTAATGAGTCTATCCTTAACAAAACCACTTTGATTAGTAGAGATTAACTTAGTAAGCAAAGGGTCCAACCTAATAGAAAAGATTTTAGTGATAATCTTGTTAGTATAATTAGAAAGGCTAATAGGTCTAAATTCATTAAAAGTTGAAGGGGCAGCATTCTTGGGGATAAGAACAAAACAAGTATGAGTAAAGAATTTAGTCAGAGGCTTACCTTGAAAGTAGTCAATAACAAAGGCTATGATATCCTTTTTGATGATGTCCCAGCAACTTTGGAAGAAGGATCCATTGTACCCATCTGGCCCAGCACTACTGGTGGCTGGCAGGTTGAATATTGCATTTCTAATCTCCTCTTCACTTGGAATAGCATTAAGAAGTACATTGTCTTCTTCTGTTATTTCCTTAGTGATGCAATTCAAAATAGAAGGATCTAGCTTGGAGATAGGGAGGTTAAACATGGCATTGAAATGTCTGATAGCTGCTTTAGAAATCTTCTCGTCTCCTTAAATCCATTTCCCTTTATGATTTTTAATCCTATCCAATTGAAGTCTTCTCCTCTTTTTTCTGAGCAAACTGTGGAAATAGCTTATGTTCCTATCTCTATCTCCAAACCACTTTATGTTTGCCTTCTGAGTGTTTAAGGACTCCTACATATCTAGCCATCTTATGTATTCCACATGGGCTTTGTTAGTTTCACTTCTGTGTGCCTCTGTGTTGTTGATAAAATCAATTTCTTCCAGGCTTTGAATCTTCTCCTCCCACTTGATGATATTACTCTGGATATCTCCTATGGATTCTCTAGACCATTGGCTTAGCTTTCTACTAAGAAGTTTCAACTTAGCTTGGAGTCTCCACATATTTGTTGTCAGTGATATGAGTGTCCCAAACCTCTTTAACAATGCTGAGAAAGTCGTCTTGCTTGGTCCAAAAATTAAGAAATCGAAAGTACTTAATGTGGTTGTTGGTCTTATCAAAACATTTCATAAGCAAATGCGTATGATCTGAGCATGTTCTCACTAGATGTTTGATAGTAGTATTCTAAAATTTTTGTGCCCATATATCATTGATAAAAACTCTATCTAGTCTTTTCCAAATTCTTTTACTAGGCCTCCAATTGTTATACTAAGCAAACTTAGCTCCAGAAAAATCAATATCTGCCACCCCATAGTTATCCAAACAATTCATAAAATCTAAGCTCTTAGACATTCTGTGAGGGTTACCACCAAGTTTTTCATCAGGTTCTAAGATAACATTTAAGTCTCCTCCAATGCACCATGGGCCATTAATACCATTGCTGTCATTTTCTAGGCTAGACCATACGTTTTTTCTTTCCCAAAAAGTACATTTGGCATAAACAGCCGTAATGGCAGTAGTAATGTTGGAATGGCCTTCTTCAATCTTGATAGTAATGTGTTGTTCATCATTGGTAGAAACAATGGTATGACAAATGTTCTTCCAAAAACACCATATTTTTCCATTGTCGTTAGAGATACATCCTAGGAATCCCAAGAATCTCATGTAGCCCTTAATCTTGTCCTTACTAACCATAGGTTCAAGGATAGCAGCATATAAAATGTTGTTGATGCTAATAAGATGTTTCAGTCTATGAATGGCCTTTTTGGACCTCACCCCTCTAATATTCCAAAAGATCGTACTAATCATGAAAGATTTGGAGGGGTGGAAGCATTTCTTTGTTTCCTTTTCTTAGAAGGTGCAGATTTGTTTTTCTGCTTTCTTTCTTTTTTTTCTAACTCTACTTCTTCCTCTCCCTTCTGTAAGAGGGTCCTCTTTCTCGAATAAGTCTTTGCCTGCT